AAGAGAACACAGAAAACGCAGGAGAAAAAACTCTTGAAGTAGGGAGCTCAGAACCATGAACCCAACTCTCTTCTATGATAAGCAGACACTACGTAGTCCCTGCAGTTTCCCAACGCATGAATCGAGATGAATGACAGTCATCCAAAATGTAACCAAGTTGTATATTAAGATACATCAGTACGTGTGTACATATTGCTAGTATACACAGTGAAAATCTGTCATCATATTTATCATTTCATTTCATCCAGGACCAAAGTGGAAAAAAACCAAACCCACTCAAGTTGACTATCATTATAAAGGAGTGTTCTAGTAAGAGTCGGGGCAGTTGGGAGGTATGTCCTAGGGAGGTGACTGGTCTTGATGTTAAAACGACTTCCAACAACGGTGCGTCAAGTCACAGACAGAGGAAGCAATGATCTGCGTTATCCAAGGATGTCTCTCTCTGGTGGAAAGTTCGGGGCTTGGGTGCATAGTCGCCCAGAGCCGAGACAGAAGTGGACTGTGCTGGGAAATGGGCCCCGCCTTGCCAGCAGGACCCGCCTCCATCCTCTCTCGAGGTGAAGGCCCGGAGGCAGGGACTGCTGGCAAAACCGTGAAGCCCCACCCGGGGGATCTGAACCCCAACTCCGCTCAGGGCAGCCTCCCTGACGTGTGTGACTAGGCAGTAAGGTGGCGGTGGATGGCGGCCAGAAAACCCGTTCCAAGGTTCCCACGGCCACGTCTGCCTTCTGATTCTGCTGCCCTGCAAAGAAATTGTGCTCCAGATAACTGCACCGGTGTCTCTAATGCCTCTGAGTCACTCCCCGGCCCCCGAAGGCCTGGAGTGATGTCACGAAAGGGTGGACACAACTCCACGAGCACCTAACTTCCACCAGGAAGCGGCTGAGGCACTGGGGAAGCCTACGAGCTCTCTTTACGTCGGCGGCAACAACACGGGGAAGTTGCCACGCGTCAGAGTTATTTGTAGGCTTTGATTCTTTAAAAATCAAAATTGATCTGCATTGTATCTCAATAGACTCAGAGGATTCTCACCAAAAATTTTTGCAATTTGTTTAAATAGCACTGGAATAATTCAACTTCATTTAAATATATTCATTCTACCATGAAAATAGTTCATACAAACATCTATTTACATACAAACACATTAAAATTTGTGAAAAGGGTTTCCATCCCTGTGGTTGTATGGCTTGAAATAGTTTTCATTGCTTTGAATATGTCTGCACACATTTGGCAAAATAAAACCGTAACAATTTAGTATTTTTAAAACAAAAAGACACCAAAGTTCCAAATTCCTGAAAGAAAAGAAAAAAAAGAAAATCTATCAAGGTACCTCAAGTAGATGTAAAAATTTCATATATTTTGTGAACCTTTGATCTGCGGCAAATAAACAATACCACTATCGGTCTTGCAACATAGTTTTGCTTGTTTTTCTAAAACAGAAGATGTCTGGATTCTAAATCACTACTCTTAAGACAGAAACTTGAGGCAACTGTTTTAAAACAAAGCACAACAGAAAAATGATACCTTCCTGGAAGATCTTAAATGCAGTTTGCAGTGAGTGATTTAAAATTTCATAGATTAAAGGAAAGTTACTAAAGTGCCACATACGACTCACGGAGAAGACAACCCTTGAACTCACTGTTCACAGTTACTGCAATTTTATGGTTACAACTAAATATTGTCAATGGTTACACTTGGCCTTCACGCTGGCCTTTTTTAGGTTGTTGGTGATGAGGAAATTATTTTTCAAGTGTGAAGAACCCCCAGAGGGCAGATAAGTTTAAAGACAGCCTCAGACAGGTTCAAAGGGGTCTTCAACAACAAATTTTCTTCTCAGTTTCTCAGGCAGACCAGGGATGAAGCAGGTTAAAATAAGAATAGGTACTGCAAAACTCAAGTCTTCCATGCCAGTAGCTTTTTAATCTCATCATTCCTTTTCCAGAAATTCAGTCCTTACGTTTTTTTTTTTTTCTGAGTCCATTCACATGCCCATTTGGGGACATACTCCTACAGATTAGTTCCTATTCCTAACTCTAACACAAGATAATATTTTGTCATAGAAAAGCTGCTAAGGAAAGATCTAGTCATGCAGGACTTGGACTGAGATGGCTCTGAGCGAATCTCCTGGGGACCATGGCATCACACACCCATCTCAGCACTGGCGCTTTTGGGGAAGCCAGAAAGTTACTCCTCTATCCCCACTACACGGATTCTTCCACATTTCTGTGCTGTTGCTCATGAAACTACCTGCTTCCTGACACAGTTCCCTCCACAGCGGATATCAAGATTCAGTAGAAAAACACATCCCTCAGCTTTGGCTCAAACAGGGAAAAAAACACCCTTATTCCCTCAGGAGTTCATTCCTCAGGGGACCCCAGTCCCCTTAACGGTTTGTCTACCTGCAGAACACAGTGAGTCTTAAGGCGCCCTCTGACCCACCCTGTGACGAAGTCTTGCATTGAGGAGTGTGTCGGGGGAGGGCAGGGGACAGCAGGAGCAGTAGATTCAGACACGGATGCAGAGTGATGGAGAGAGGTACTCCTGAAGGGAAAGACAGACAGACTGCGCTCCGGGGGCGCACACAGAGGCAGGAGACGCAGGACAGAGGGAGCAGGAGGGAGGGATCAGCTGGTAGGTTGTTATGTAGGCACACCGGGGCGTTCTCACAGACGACAGAGAGAGAAGAAAGGGGAAGGCAGGAGAAAGAAGAGCCGGAGATGCAGAGGCTCAGCTTGGGGTACCGCCTCCTCTGATGTGTCTGAACGTCACAAACACACTGCAAGACTCTGAACTCAAAGTGTTGACATTCACGATCTCATCTGAAAAATGGGTTTGTGCTGGTTAATCACTACCATTTAATTCCATCACTTTTATCAAAAGAAAAGAGAAATTCCATTTGAAGGGGGTAGCCCATTGGTATAGAAATTATACCCCAGAGCAGCCTCAAGTCCTTGCCAGATCTCCCCCTGACCTCACTCCCAACCCCACTGACCAGGAGTAGTTCAAGCATCTTTCTCTGGAGACAGTCACTCACTTCGGGACACGTTTGAATGAAAGCACCTGTCGGAATACAAGTCCCAAGGCCTCATCCGTCTGTCACAGTTTACTGAACGGTCTCTTTCTACAGAATAGAAGCGATCCTATCCTGGTGCCTTTTAATCTGAAAACTTTTCAGTTCCCTTCAAGGAAGATCTTTCTGGCAGCCCTCAGAACTTCTCACAAGTGAACCAGCAGCATATCTCCCTGAAACCAAGGCCACTTAGCTGCTCTGCCAGGGACACAGGGGCTCTGGGAAAGCCTGGCCAAGGGAAAGGCTGAATCCTGTGCCTGGAGCAAACTGCCAAAACTGAAAGTTGTGAGCAGCCCCTGGATCAAGCACTTCTGTGAAGTTCTTCCCAGAGCATGTGTAACTGACACAAAATAGCAAACTTCCTCCTGCCTGTTTCTTTTCTGCTTTCTGAGCCTTCCCTAGTTACAGAAGCTACAGGAGCGTGGAAGGCTTCAGCTTTCAAGACCAGACTGACTTGGTGACAGGTGCTCCGCTGACAGCTGCGACTTGGAACAAACGCTAATCTCTAGACCGCCCAGCTCCACAGTGAGGCATCTAGGGAAGGCATAGCTGTGGCATGTGGCGAGGGCGCTTGCCATAACCCCCAAACTCTCAGAATTCATTCAGAGCAATCCCAGTTAAATTACATACCTAATTAGCTAAACTAAAAAACAGGGGGTTTTCTCCTTATTTCTGCAGTTGTGATTACACATGGCTAGCAAAATGACTGAAATGCTATTGATACTGTTGCTTTTAAACTATACAGGTGTTAATCTTAATTCACAAGGCTTTGAAGCAGGTAAATGCTTTGAAATTACAATGATGAAGAGTTTTAGCGGTTAAGGTTTGATTTGTACCTAGTGATCAGTACGTCTCTCTTAATAGTAGCGATTTAGAAAGAAACAAAACAAAGGAATTTCGAATTCTGGATTAGAATTCAAGTTTGCTATTTGACTTTTGAATCCAATGCACTGTGCCACAAGCCAGACTGCTCTACGTTATGTACATTTAATGTGTACCCAAGGAGAAAAAAAATGACTAGCACTATTGAAGATACTGCAAAATTGCCACAGTTACTGCTTAGAAATACTAATTTCCATCTCTTCTTTCTTAAAGTATATATTACAACTCTTCCATAACTTAATGCAAACAAAGTAAATTCATTTCTTCTCACATCTTAAAGCAAAGATATCTTTGTTTACATGCGAGAATAATAATTCTATAATAATAGCCTGGCCCTAGGAGCCAGGTCTTTATACTAGGACATAATAATGAAACAATGACAGATCGATAGAAAGAGCCAGAGAGACCTACACACTGGCGCTGACACAAAATCTGTTTGGAAGTTTTCTCTCGTGAAAGATACCTAAGAGAGAGAAGGAGACTAAGGGGTGAACAGACTCAAAAAGTGGGGTTCTGTTCGCTAGGGGGAAAAAACAAGGCCATTCTATTGCAAGAGACAGATCAAAGGTTAAAAGGCAAATTATACTACATTTAGAGAATAAAAATGTAGTAATTCTCCCCTTCATATGGCGAATATGCAAGTGTGACAGAACAATTTGCACTGGCCATAGAAATAAACCTCATGGAAAAACCACTGACTAAAAATGACTGAAAAAGCCCCCCTTTTCCCCCTTTTTTCAGTCTAATCATTTGGCATCTCTGAAGTGGTACAGATTTAGATTTGAACCACCCAAGAACATCATGCTGTCTTCTGTCAAGTGCGCGACAGTACCTCTCGGGAGGGTGTTGTTGCGAGGCTAGCTAATTTTAAATCTGGTATGAGTAATACAGTCAGACCTAGTTAGTATTCGAGAAAGTCGGAGCGAACGCAGAGTGAGAGGGTGTGATGTCACAGCATGAGCAGTCCCTGGTTGTCCCGTTGTCGGATAAACGTAGTGCATAGATCCAAGTTTCTGTTCCAGGTCCCCTGCAGCCCGGAGCCAGGCTTTCACTTCTGCTGGGTGGCCTGGAAGGCCTTCAGCTCCACCTGGTACCACTCGGGAGCTTCTGGCCCGCTCTTCCCTGGGGGGCTGTGGTCGTAGCCGTAGGCAACGGTAAGTTCCTCGTCGGCCTCCACGGCTCGGAGGGTGCGGATGCATTTGATGGGCCCGAACCTGGGGTGGACAAACCTAGACATCAAGATGCACACAGTCATTCCTGGGTGGACCAGAAGGTCGGACACAAAGGCTAGAAGGGCCGAGACAGGAATCACCCACATGCTTTGGCCTGGACCCCAGGGGCAGGTTGTCAGTGTCACAGGAGAGTCAGCATCAGCGTTTCCTGGGAGCCTGGTGCTCACGTACACTTGGGCTACCCCACCCAGACCTGGCGGTGGAATCTGCATTTGAACACCACCTCCCCCTCCCCCAGGGGACTCTTCTGTGCGCACGCTCAGTCGTGTCTGACTCTGGCCCCACGGACTGTAGCCCGCCAGGCTCCTCTGTCCTTGGGATTCTCCAGGCAAGAATACTGGAGTGGGTTGGCATTTCTTCCTCGGGGATCTTCCCGATCCAGGGATCGAACCCTCATCTCCTGTCTCCTGCACTGCATGCAGATTCTTTACCACCGCACTGAGGCTTAAAAAGCATGGCCCTGGGACTTCCCTGGTGGTCCAGTTTTAACAACTGGACTCTCTGCTTCCAATGCAAGAGGCTGGGTTGGATCCCTGGTACCAACTGAGATCCCACCTGCCATTTAGGATGGCCAAAATAAGCAAGTGAGTAAAGAAAAAGTATGGCCCTATCTTCCTTTTTGAGCATATTTGGCGCTCTGTCTTTATAAATCAACAGCCAGGATCTACCCCCCAAAATCTGTCTTTAATGAGAAACCGGATTCAGCGTAGTCTGCCAGCATTTCAGCTCATCCGGCCTGTAGCATCAGATTACCTGGCTGTGCCTCAGGGCAAGGGCACTTGTGGAGTTCTAAGAGAGAGCCCTGTGGATTTTCAAAAGCAAAAAATGCTGTATTCCATCCTGTACTTCTTGAGGAAGTGTTATTTTCTAGTTTTGAAAGTAAATGAAGATTTCTTTCCAAGAGGGAAGCCCAGACGCTCTGCCATCCTGCTTCTTTCAGATTTCCCGCTGACCCACGCTGTGAAGGGAGAGGCTGGGCTCCTGCTAGGATTATGCTCATCTGTGGAAGGCTCCCAGCCCGGCTCACCCGCACAGCTCCCTGCAGGAGAGCAGGGGCTAAATAAGTATTAATAGATTTGTCTCCTCTAATAAGGGATTCCCAAGTGGTGCTGGTGGTAAAGAGCCTGCCTGACAATGCAGGAGATGTAAAAGACTTGGGTTTGATCCCTGGGCTGGGAAGATCCCCTGGAGGAGGGCATGGCAACCCACTCCAGTGTTCTTGCCTGGAGAACCCCATGGACAGAGGAGCCTGGTGGGCTGCAGATACATGGAAGGCATGGCCAGAAAAAATCTTATATTTTTGTATGCATATGGTTGGATCTGCCCGGTTCATTGACAGTCACACTTTGAACAAGAGGCACTGAAACGTCACAGAAGGTCCTAGATCCTAAGTTAGATGGCACATGGCGCATGATGGCAAGCACTTGGTGGGAGAGGTGTGTCTGCAGTGTATGGACATAATTTGTGTGGGATGAAGGGCAACAACTGCACCCTCACTTCAAGGGGTGTCAACATCTACCCGTTCTGGGTGTCCTGTTCCCTGGCACGCACACTTGATTTGGGGCTGAAGACGCTGGTGTGAGTCCTGGTTCCACACGTTGTTACTGCCTCCTTCTGGAAACTCACCTCTGCAACTCTGAATCTCACTTTCCTCCTCTGCAATCATAAGACTAGTGATTCTTCCCTCCAAGAGTTCCTGCGGTGACAAAGTGTGGCTGGGCTCAGGCACTTCAGTCCTATCTGTCTCTTTTCGACCCTGTGTAGCCTGCCAGGCTCCTCTGTCCATTGGATTCTCTAGGCAAGAGTACTGGAGTGGGTTGCTATTTCCTCCTCCAGGGGATCTTCCTGACCCAGGGATTGAACCTGCATCTCTTATGTCTCTTGCACTGGCAAGCAGGTAGGTTCTTTACCACTAGCATGTGCCTGGCACAACTGAAGACTCTCATCAGTTGCTAAGCACGTAAGCAAGCCTGTGGGTGTGTGAGATTGTGCACATGCACAGAATTCTCAAATGTGCTCTGGCACAAAAGATATTCCTGGACCAGGGATTTGGGAATTACTTACTAAAATCGCAACTCTTGGGCTCCAAAATATTTCATTAAAAAAGTAATACTCCTTACAATAGAATATCACTTGGCCATAAAAAGGAAGAAATATTGCCACTTGCAGCCATGTGGCCAGACCGAGAGGTTATTATACTAAGTGAAGTAAGTTGGACAAAGACAACTATCATGATATCGCTTATACATAGAACTGCAAAAAATGATACAAATGAACTTAATTTACAAAATACAGACTCACAGACATAAAAAGTCAAACTTATGGCTACCAAAGGGGAAAGGTGGGGAGGGAGGAGGGATAAATTAGGAGTATGGGATTAATATTAATATAAATACACTACTATGTAGAAAGTAAACCATAAGAACCTACTGTACACTACAGGGAACTATATTCAATATCTCATAATAACCTATGAAGGAAAAGCATCTGAAAAAATACATATATATATATATATCTGAATCATTTTGTCATACACCAGAAACTAACACAATATTGTAAATCAGACACTTCAAAAAAAAAAAATATATACTCCTGAAATGGAGCTCTAGTTAACCTTGTGGTACACACACACACAAAAAAAAATCCCACAAGAAGCCTAAGATTTCTCTTATTGTCCTCTTGCATTTTCATTTTCCTACTCATTTTCATTATTTTCAGAGTAGAAAACAGACAGACTGAAAAGAAAGAACTCAGTCTCAGGTGCCGATTCTTCAAGGCAGCCCTAGAACACAGAGGTTATGAGCACTTCACTTTGACAAGAGTCCTGTATTTCTTGTCCCTGATCTGGGATACTGGTAATAATTACCAGTAATACAGGTGGCCCCATGAAGTTACTGGGAAGATTGAATGACATCGTGCACAGAAGCCTGTACCAGTGCTGGCCTCCAGAGAGCACTCAGGAAACACTGGGCAAGATCAGCCCTCCGGCCAAACCTCAGATCATGCAGTTCGGCTCCTTCTTGAGCAACCTAGATCTACAGCAAGGAAAGCAGTTCCTGTCTGTCCATTTGGCACAATGTACGGACTACAGTTCAAACGGCTTACAGAAGTTGGTGTTCTGTGTTAAAGTGTGCATAGCAGCACCAATGATTTTAGAAACAAATGAATCCCATGGACTGGTATCTGAACGTTCTGATTGTTATTCAGGTAGTCTCTCCTGGGGCTTCTCAGGTGGCGCTCGTGGTAAAGAACCCACTTGCTAAGGCAGGAGACATAAGAGATGTGGGTTTAATCCCTGGGTCAGATCCCCTGCAGGAGGGCATGGCAATCCACTCCAGTATTCTTGCCAGGAGAATCCCATGGACAGAGGAGCCTGGCAGGCTACAGTCCATAGGGTCGTAGAGTTGGACACGCCTAAAGTGACTTGGCACCACCTCTCCATGACCCCAAATAATTAATCATTCACACGGGGCTTGAAAAAAAAATTTCTGAGGAGGGACTTGATTTTGCACAAATGGTTCCTTCTCTTTTCTCCTGTGGTCTCTTACTTTTGATGAGAAAAATCATATCCTTGCCATGAAATCACAAAACTCATTCATTTTAAGGGGCAGCCTAAGTAGCATTTATAATCCTTCATTACCACGGGTTTAAATGGTTGTTGTTCAGCTGTGTGCAGCCTGGAACGATGCTTTGGCCTAATTTACATTGGCCACGAAAGCCTTGGAGTTAATAACACTGTCAGTTTCATTTCACATGACACATGTCCTTTGCCATTTCTACTCGCCCTTTAAACAGAAGTTGTAGCTTCAGTACTTGGTACTGGCTGCCAAGGAGAGCAAGTCCCTGCCAGAACAATTTTAAAGCCATCTCAGGGATGCAAGGAGGGACACTCGAATCCTGGCACTTCTCCTACAGATTAAATGCACATGATCTGATCCCGCTTATGTTAACAAGCAAGAGAACCAAGCAACAGCAAACTACAGCTGAGCAGAAAAGACTACACGTGGCTCCCGGCTGCTCGGAGGAACTGTCATCCTCGGGCTGAGCTAAGGACAGCGGTGACGTGGAATCTCAGCTATCCCTTTTAAGGAATAGTCAGAAATGCCTGACTTGGGGAAGACGGTTTGGAAGCACATGAAAACTACTATGATATGTGTGGGGCTACTGTGTGGAAGAGAGATTTACGTTGTACACTAGAAGAAAAGGGATAATTAGGGCCAGGGGCCAGAGAGGTCAGGGAAACCCACTGGGGTTCAGCAGAAAGAACTTTCTAGTCACCAGAGCCCAACAGCTAATTCCATCGTACGTATCTGTTTGTCCAGACAGCTGCCCTTGTGGATAATGGTATGGCTCTCATCCATGGAGGTGTCCAAGAGGTTCAGTGTGCTATTGGAAGGGGAGGCTCAAACTGAAAGGGGTTATTTGATTTTTTAAAACTAATGATGGTGGTGAGACGTAATTCATGCTTCATAAAACGCACCCATTTAATGTCTACCATCCAGGGGTTTTCAGCTGTGCAACCACAGCCGCTAACTTTGGAAGCCTCAAAAGGGACTTCCCACAACCTGAACGTCTATCAACAGAGGGATGAATAAACAAGACATGGTACATATAGACAACGGGCTGTTAAAAAAGAATGAAATAATGTCATTAGCAGCAACATGGTTGGCCCAGAGATTGTCACACCGAGTGAGGTAAGTCAGACAGAGAAAGAGGAATATAATATGATGTCACTTATACATGAAATCTAAACAAGTGATACAAACGAAAACTTATTTACAAAACAGAAATGGACTCGCAGACTTAGAGAATGAACTTATGGTTACCAGAGGGGGAAGGTGAGGGGAAGGGATAGTTATGGAGGTAGAGATTGCCATGTACACACCTCTATGTTTTAAATGGATAACCAGCAAGGATCTGCTGTATGGCACATGGAACTCTGCTCAAGGTTATGTGGCAGCCTGGATGGGAGGGGACTTTCAGGGAGAATGGATATATGTATGTGTATGGCTGAGTCCCTTTGCTGCCCAAGTGAAACTACCACAACCTGTTAATCAGCTATACTCCAATATAAAATGATAAAAAGGAACTTCCATGCTCATTAGCCATCAACTTTTGCTCCCCCAACCCCGGCTCCTAGCTCCAGGCAAGCACTGACGGGCATTCTGTGTCTGGGGCTATAGAGAGGACTGTTCACACAAATGGAATCAACATCACATGGTCTTTAGTGACTGGCTCCTTGCATGTTTTCAGAAGTCCATCCAAGTTCTTGCCTGTGTCAGTATTTCATTCCTCTTGGCTATCAGCTGATAGGGACTCTGATTTTATAGGTTTTTTTTTTTTCTAACACCCAGACCTCATGCCCTAGATTTAGGATTTTACAGTCCTCCTTCCTTTCACATCATAAAAGGATTCCCTAATCTCTACAGTGCAAATTCAATTTGTACTATTACTTCCAGTGACACTATCCTTAATTTTCCAGAATGAGAGAGCTGAAGAACAGAAAAAGCCACAATAAAACAGCAACCACGAACTATAGTATTTCCGCAGCATGTCTACTCTTTGAAGCACTTTTCTATTTCTGGGTTTCAAGTAGTAAGCATGAGTAGCCCCCTGGGTGAAGGCCCTCTGATATTCTAAGGGGGCCACCTTCCTTGGGGCAGGATAACACCTCTGAGGTGCCCTCTTCATTCTCGGGGCCCCACGGCACTGGCAGCTTAGGGTCCTACTCACATGTCATAGATACAGTTTGGAGTGAAGGAGTGATTTGCCTTGTGTCCCAAGGAGGCACAGTACTTGGATACGTGGTTGTAGGGCTCAGGCACATCAATGACCGTTTCCTCGTCAAGGGAGAGGGTGTTCCCATTGAGAGCCCAGTCCCTGCTGTCGACCTGCAGAAAACAAGAAAGTGAATATTGGAAACGAGCTTCCTCTCAGGAACTCAAAGGCCACTGAAGATATTAACTCATTTATCCCTAACCTCATGGTTTGAGTGCCATGTATATAGCAAAAGCCTAAGGCAGCAGCCCCCAACTTTTCTGGCAACGGGGACTGGTTTTGTGGAAGACAATCCTTCCATGGATCAGGGTGGGGGGATGGTTTCAGGATGATTCAAGTGTATTGCATTTATTGTGCACTTTATTTCTGTCACTATTACATCAGCTCCATCTCAGATCATCAGGCAATAGATCCTGGAGGTTGGGGAACCCTGGCCTAAGGCATCCCTTGCACTTTGATGGTGCATACTCCACACAATGATGGTGGGAAGGGCATAAAGAGCAGAGCAGGGCAGCTCAACTTCCTATTTATTTTTAAAGTAATTAAATTAAACTAATTAATTAGTTGATTGATTTTTGGCTGTGCTGGGTCTTCGCTGCTGCCTGGGCTTTTCTCGAGTCGCAGTGAGCAGGGGGCTACTCTCCAGTTGGGGTGTGCAGGCTTCTCATTGCTGTGGCTTCTCTTTTTGCTGAGCACAGGCTCTCAGGCACGCGGACTTCAGTGGTTAGGCACATGGGCTCAGTAGTTGTGGCTCCTGCACTCTAAAGCATAGGCTCAGCAGCTGTGGCTCTCAGGCTTAGTTATTCTGTGGCATGTGAGAACTTCCCAGATCAGCGATAGAACCTATGTCTCCTGCATCGGCAAGTGGGTTCTTTACCCTTGAGCCACCAGAAAGTGAAAAGTGAAAGTGTTAGTTGCTCAGTCATGTCTGACTCTTTGCAACCCCATGGAATGTAGCCCACCAGGCTCCTCTGTCCATGTGAATTTCCCAGGCAAGCATACTGGAATGGGTTGCCAATCTCTTCTCCAAGGGGATCTTCCCCACCCAGGGATCAAACCTGGATCTCCTGCATTGCAGGCAGATTCTTTACCATATGAGCCACAGGGAAGCCCATAAGCCACCAGAGAAGTCTTCAATTTACTATTAATTAACTTTCCCCATCTTATTTTATAAAAAAAAGAATTTGGAAGGTATTTGGGTCGTGGGGGCAGGTACAGCCCTTATGAATAAGACCGGAGTTCTTATAAGAAAACTCTGAGTTCCCTCATCCCTCCTGCCATGTGTAGTTACAGCAAAAAAAGGGACATCAGTGAAGCAGGAAGCCAGCTCTCACCAGACACTGAATCTGTTGGCACCCTGGTCTTTGACTTCCTGGCTTCTAGAACTGTGAGAAAGAAGTTTTTGTTGTTCATAAGCTACCTAATCTACAATGTCTTTGCCATAGCAGTCTGAGGTTGGCTGGAGAACGATACCTGAGCAATTTTATAAAAAAGCCTAGCCTTTTGTTCCTTTATATTCTTCGTGAACATTAAAGTAAAAGGACTAATGAGAAAATTAAGGGTGTCTGAAACAAAGCCCTTTAAACAGTCAAACTGAGTCCCCACTTCCACCTCACTCACCTCTTGGTGTGTAATTCGGACTCCATTGTAAAAAGACATAACAGTATTGGGTCCCGCAGCCACTTTTGAAAACAGTCCTTCTCCAGCACTGGAAATGAGAGATTCAGCAACATAAACCCTAAAAAGAAAAAAAAAAAAGGCAAATGATTTGTTTTAGTTTGATATATCATCCCTTACTAACCACCCAAATACCGTCATAGCTACAGAATCCAAAATGTCAGTTCACAGTAATCCAATGAGGCAGAAGAAAAAGTGAAATACAGATTTTGGCACTGAAAACTGGAGAACAGTGTATACTTATGACTCTCATTGCTCTCTAATAAAGGGATTATTAGTATACATTCACAAAGTAACTCAGTGCTTAATATAAGGTTTTTAAAAATTTGTATGTTTTAATTAATGACAATTTCCACTGTCTTCTTGGACTATGCAAACATTTCCCAAAGCTAATTAAAGCTATACACAAGGTTCTCAACCCTGAGATGAATCTTCTACATAAAGGAGTGACAAATAATTAATAAAAGATACTCAGTAAGTACTTCCCAACAAAGGAGTTTATAACAGATCAGCTAACTCTGGCCCAAGGATCAAATCTAGCTGTTGCTTGTTTTTGTAAATAAAGTTTTATTGGGACACACTCACACCTATTTGTTCAGTATTATCTATGACTGCTTTGGCATCACAAAGGCTGACTTGAGCAGTATTATCTATGACTGCTTTGGCATCACAAAGGCTGACTTGAGCAGCTGCTGTAGAAACTCACAAAGCCTAAAATAGTGACCATGTGGTCCTTTACAGAACAAGTTTGCCAACTGCTGGTTTTAAGAAGATAGAACTCGTGATTGCAGAACAAGATTTATTAAGAGAGTGAGTGTGAGCATGTTAAGTCGCTCAGTTGTGTCTGACTTCATGACCCCAAGGACTGTAGCCTGCCAGGCTCCTCTGTCCACAGGATTTCCCAGGCAAGAATAGTGGACTGGGTTGCCATTTCCTTCTCTAGGGGATCTTCCTGATCCAGGAATCAAACTCACATCTCCTATGGCTCCTGCATTGGCAGGCAGATTCTTTACCCCTGCACCACTTGGGAAGCCCCTTATTAGGAGAGTACCTGCCCCAATCACATAATTTCAGTTATTCCAGCCCCTGTGGTGGATAACGAGTCTGGTGGAAATGGTCATTTGGGATTTCTGTTATGTAGATCTTCTGTTTATTTGATGGGCTGGAAGGCTGAATTACTGCTTCCACCTCCTGACTCTCTCCCTGGGACAGAGTTATTCTGATTCTTGGTCATGTGACTGCCCTTCAGCTTGCATGGAGGATAACGTCCCTGCCCAACTGACTTGGTTTTGGCTGAGTGATCTGCTTTGCCACTAGGGAGAAGTGACTGCAAGGCTAGGTCTCGGGTGTTAAGAATCATGGCAAGTCTCTGCTAGCTTCCTTGAGCTTCCATTCATCTCCACAAGGAGAAGATGCCCCAGGGGGCTGTTGTTTGCTTAGCCTGAGTCTTGGAATGAAGGCATGTGAGACAGACCGGAACCCAGCTTGAATCCTGGAGCACAGCCTAGTCCAGCCGAGCCGAGTGGAACCCAGTCAAAAGTGGCTGAGCCTCAGCCAATCTACAGAAGTATGAGCACAGAAGGAAATATTTGCTTTCATAAATCACTGATAGTCTAAGGCTACTGTTATGTGGCATCATCACAATGACAGTAACACACAAAAAAAGATACATACAGTTAGGGGACTGTTATGTTTGGGGGCTAACAAAGACCAAATCTTTCTCTCTGCAAACAGGCCAGAGCCTCATCTCAAGAAAGAGGCCGTTCATTCATTGTGACATTGTAGTGTCAGCCCTGTCAGTTAAACCAGGGAAGAGGCCTTTTCTCAGACGCGGACAGAAGAGAAACTAAATAGAAGCCATGATTACAGAGTGAAGCCAAGAGAAAGTCCACTGCAGATGGCACTCTTACCCACAAACAGGCCAGCCACTGGGGCACACGAACCCCAGTCAAGAGACCCGAGAAAGCCATTCCAGGAATCCAGAGCTAGAGTTTAGCTAGCATGTCCAATGGAATGGGGCCTGACACTCTGGAACGGAGCTTAGAGAATTGTAATTTGTAAGCTGGAATGTTTTTATGCTTCTTACATTTTATTTATTCCTGTCTTCCCTTAGTGAATAAAGACATTATCTTGTGCTCCAGACCCTCTCAGCTGGGCTAAGTAAAGCAGCAGACATCTGGTCCTGCCTCGACTAGAGCTTTCAAGAGTGTGAAATGCTCCCGAGGGGCTAGGAGAGGCTGCCACGCCAAGAGCCCCAGGAAAGCGGACGCCTGGGCAGGGTATAACGGGCTGCCTGACCCAACTGCTGTCCCTTCGTAGAAGCTTCACTCCGGGACCGACACACAGGCTGTTCTGTGCTTTACGGGCGGAGAAACTCTCTTACAGGGACATATGCTGTATGACCAGGAAAACACTCTTTTTCAGAATACACATTTTTTTTTTCTGCTAGGGAACTCAGCCTGAGTAGAGGGCCACCAAGGAGCAATAATTCCCACCAGAAGAGTTATTTAATCTCACATAAATGATGTCATTAAAACCACAGGGGAACAATTACCTCTCCGATTCATACGGGTCTGGAAGAAGAGCATTGGAAGAAATGCAAGATGAAGTTGACTTATCAAAGTGGTACACCGCACCTGAAAAGCAAACAAAAATTTCAGTACAGGCCCAGTGTCAGGGAAGTGCATCAGAAACATTTCTCTCTAACAATGGGACCTGCATAAGTTAAATAATGCAAAAGGTTACTCAAGTTAGACCAACTAGAATGAAATTCTTCAGTATAAATGGAGAGCTTTTTTTTAAATAATAGTTTTTCATGATAAGAAAGTTTACTTATCCTGAGTAAATGTGCAAACACAATGAAATTCTTAGCTTCATTCTCCATCATATTCATTATGCATCTCTTGGTGACTATAATGACATTCATTATTTTTAGGAGAATTTATTATTGTGAATACATAAATCCCAACCCATTTTGTCACCTAGTAAAAGATACACATATGGGTTTTCTTTCTTTTGCAGAATATCCAAGTGGAAAAAAATACAGAGAGATACTCAGGAAAAAGTTAATCTGAAGTAATAATTTTTTATTACTCCTGAAATGCTTTCACTGTGTTTAGGAATATAATAATGAAGATGGATACCATTTTACAAAGCATAATTTACTTTAGCTCTTTCATTCTTTAACTATCTGGAATTACATGAGTGACCTATACCTAATCATCATCCAACCCATTGGTAGAACTCATGTTATACTTCCAATATAATTTCTGATTTGAGAATCTTAAGTGTAACAAATATTGTCATAACATCAAATATTCTTATACTAGGGGATTAAAATCTGTTGTTTCATTTGTTGAACTTTGTGATTCTGAATTGAGTTGCTAAAAGATATTTTTAGGTTATTATTGAATACAGCAATTGGATGCTTAGTAGATGGCATGGGTACCAGGTGATGATGTTAATTCTAATTAAAATATGTGATAGGATGAAATAGTTGCTGGCTGGCTAGATAACAAGCTTCTTACAAGCAGGTTTACACCAGTAATTACAGACTGCTGTGCAAAATATAAATGATAGTTTTCAGATTTATTCTGGAGTTTTGTTATCAGGTCTTCACAGCCATCAGGAGTATCTCTTAAAATTCCATTTTTGCTTTTGAATTCTCTTTATTCACATGATTTAAAAGCTGCTTGTGTAATTAAAATTTTTAACTGAGAAAAAGCTTTGTCATGAAAACTTGAGATCTCTCTCTGGTTGGATAAGATTGGATAATAGTTTTAAATTTTCCTTGTGGTTTTTTTCACACTAGACACAGTCTGTAGAATCAAACCACCCACCCTTGGCAATTGTCTCCTTCACTAAAAATAAACATTCAGCCTCACCAGAATTAAGAACAGACTGCTTTTGATAAAGCATTAACAAAGTCATCTTATTTCTATTAAAGTGGTTCAGAAACCAATTAGTAATTTATTCTAGAAACGAAGGCACACAGCCACTCTAGAATTAACGTTAGTTCTCTGCAAAGAATTAGCCTCCAAGAACCCTCCAAGAGCATGAGGAAGATATATGGTGTTCCAAAGGCTAATAAGTAACAAGTTTACTCCTGAAAAGTCAATTATTTTAGGCACTAAGGCATCATAAATTATCCATTAAGCAGTTCCTAAGTAGTTACCAATGGTTACCAGGTTCTCTTTCTTTCTTTCTTTTAATACCATCAAAACCCAAATTAATGTCTCAGACTAAAAGTCTGAGATCAGTCCATGTCACAATCCAGATCAGCCCGTGTCACAGACCATTTGAGTATTTTGAAGAGAGAGAATTTAATACAGGGAACTGGTTACATAGAAGATGGAAGAGCTGAGAAGCCAAAGAAGGCAATGAAGAGCCCCCAAACTGCCAAGAGCAGAAAGCCATAACCCTGAGTCACAGGAGCAGCGTTAGTCACTCAGTCGTGTCTGACACTTTGTGACCCCATGGACTGTAACCTGGCAGGCTCCTCTGCCCATGGGATTCTCCAGGCAAGAATACTGGAGTGGGTTGCCATGCCCTTCTTCAGATCTTCCCTACCTAGGGATCGAACCCAGGTCTCCAGCATTGGCAGGCAGATTCTTTACCATCTGGGCCACAGAACCATCCCTGGACCTCTGGACCTGGGGGAGCCCAGGGAAGCTGGACCCGTCGGGAACCGTCCTGTTAGGAGATGGAGTCAGGAGACAGGCCCCTGCTGGGGACTCTATGGGACACACAGAGGGCTTCTCCCTGCTCCTGTCCTTGGCCTGTGGCCAAACCCAGACAGAAGTCGGAGGCACAGAGCCTGGGAAATGCACCAGGGAAGGGGTAGACACCCCGGCCTGCAGTAAAGCAGAGCAGGGAAGGCTGAGAACCAGCACATGACCGATTAAAGGAAGTTCAAGCAAGAAAAAAAAACCAAAAAACCCCACACTTCCAAACCAAACATTTCTGTGGAATACACATCGTATTGTGCAGAAATTCTCCTAAGAACTCCCATCTCCTTTCCTTAGACTAAAACGTTCCTCACAAATGTGCTAAGTGCCAACTCTACACATAAAACACCATGCTAGGGGCTCTGCAGATACAGGAGTCATATTACATCTCTTCCTGCTTTCAAGAAGTCAAGGTGTCTTCTCCAACGCTGACCATCCCTCCCGCTGCTCCCTTAGACAGGCCTGTGCTCCAGGCCAACTGAAGGTACCCTCTCCTCCCTCTATTCCCCTGTCATTGCTACTATGACCTGGGACTGCAATTCATCCATTCAACTGACAAACGTTACTTCTAAGAGCGGAGCCAAGCCATAAGGATGGAACAGGAAAGGATTTCCCTTTCCCTTGCAGTCCAGTGGTTGGAACTCTGCACTTTCACTGCCAAAGGCCCAGGTTCAACCCCTGGTTGGGGAACTAAGATCCTGCAAGCTGCAAGGCACGGCCAAAAAAATAAAAATTAATAAGGACTTATTGTATATTGCAGGGAACTCTACTCAATACTCTAATGGCCTATATGGCAAAACAATCTAAAAAAGGGTGGATATATGTGTGGGCATAACTGATTCACTTTGTTGTACACCTGAAACTAACACAACATTGTAAATCAACTATACTCTGATAAACATTTAAAGAATTAAATTTAAAAAATGCAACTTCTGATTTAATAGTCCTGAAGGGGGCCTGACAACCTGCATTTCTAAGAAACATTCAAGTGATGCTGATAATTGCACTAAAAAAGAGACAGAACAGGCATTAGCCAGGGAATGGAATTGCTATGTAAAGAGGCGAAAAAATGAGGAGAGAAGAAATTCCAGGCAGAGGCACAAGAAAACTCAGCAAGAAGTGTGGAGAGAGAGAAGCAGTTTGTTGGTCCAAGAGCACAGACAGAAAGGAGCAGGCGGTGAGGAGGGTTTCAGGTGAGACACTGCATTCTGCTTCCTCCTCCCCCAACCACTGGGCCAGAAGCCACATGACCCCGAAAGCCCTCATCTGTCAGCCAGTCCGGGGTTTAGCACTTGTAACTGGAAGAGGAAGGAGACAGAAACAAAAGGGGCGGAACACAGAGCAAAGACTGGGCCTGGTTCCTCCCAGTCACCCAGAGCAACTATGCTTTCTGATCCCTTTGAGACCCATATTGTTCAACCTAGCCTTAAAAGATCTGAGGCCTGCTGGAATCTTGCCAATAAATCCACCCCTCCTTTTCTGGTCTTAAGTGAATTTGAAGAGGGTGCTTGCTATTTGCATCCAGGAGTTCTAAGAAAAACCATAATTCCTCTGAGACTGATCACTCTCACTTTCCAAATGTGTTTCATACTTACACCAAGAAAAGTGTAATAACCACAATAACTTTCCTGATGGGGCTTTATGATAGGTGCCAATATCTGTATTTTATCATGAAGAAACAGGTTCTAACTGGGTAATAACCTGCCCCAACCCATAATACAGTAAATGTTGGAGCCAAGACTCCAACGAGGTGACTCTCAAGTTCAAGACTCTCGCCACTAAAAGTGTTGCCATTTCTGAAGTTTTAAAATTTGCATCACCAACTGGGATCATCCCCTGGCCAGAGTCTCCTCATTTCTGAACATTGTAACACTGTCCCCTATTGAAATGGACATGAAGAGTGCAGATACCAGAGTTTAAAGTTCAAAGATTACTGTTACACTTAAAAAAAAAAAAAACTTCATTGTGGAATGACTTTAAATTTGCAGAAAAGTTGCAAACATAGTACAGAGAACTCCTGATGCCCCTCACTGTTTCTCCTAATGTTAATTTCTTATGTTACATGGTGCATTTGCCCAAATTAAGAAACCAGCATAGCGTTACTATTGAGTGAACTCCAGGCTTTATTCAGATTTCACCAGTTTTTCCACGAATGTCCTTTTTCTGTTCCAGGATCCAATCCAGACTCCCATACTGCATTTAAAATGCCTCAATTTTTAACTTAAAAAAACAAAAACGGAGACATTTATAACAACCCAAGTTGGAGCTAAATGCAAAGTGCTAGGTTTCCTATTTTTGAACAACCACCCTTTGGAGAATCTCCTTCCAATCCAAAGAGCTAAATATTATCTAGGCCTAGCAATGCCTAGATGCACTATCTTTTTTACTTTATTCTTCTTATACCTTAACTTAGATTGGAAATACATATATGTTGGGAAGATCCCCTGGAGAAGGAAATAGCAACCCTCTCCAGTGTTCTTGCCTGGAAAATCCCATGGACAGGGGAGTCTGGTGGGCTACAGTCCATGGGGTCACAAAGAATCAGACACGACTGAGCACTTCACTTTTTCATACATTGTTTTCAAGGAATCAGACCAATTTAGCTTTCTTAATATTGTGCCACTCAGAATACAAAACCTTGATTTTTTTCGTTGTATATTTTCCAGATTTTCTACAGTAAATAATTTTGTAATAAGAAAAAAAGTTTGGTGCCATCCGGTACTTCTAAAAGGAAACAGGACTTTTTCTAACATGCAGACCAACAGGCTCATTTGTGCATTGAGTATATCTTCCAAGACGATGCTAGATGTTCCCCTCCTTCCGCTCGCATCGCTGAGCCTGTGAGATCTTAGCCAGTCAGGGGTTGAACCCATGCTCGCTGCAGTGGAAGCGCGGCGTATTAACCACAGATCACCAGGAAAGTCTCGATATAAGACTTTGAAAAGAGCCCAGGTACCAATGTGCATTTATCTTTCCCAATTGGAACTCAGGTTGATTCAGCATTACAACTTGGCGATCTACCTAACTTGATTCTTTATCAATTCAATCATTAAACTGTAGGGGTTTTTCCCCCCGAGATATAATATTTAAAACTGATTAAATTACCGCTGTCATTTCTTCACCCTTTCTGTGCACTAGAATTAGACAGCTATGCCCTTGTCAGGTGACTTTCCAGCATCTTCTACTAAAGTGCCTGGTGTATCGTTCCCTGTTTCACTGATGGCTTGGCCGTGTGACTTGCTTTGACTAATGACAAGTGGGTGAAAGGGACTTTGTGTCAGTTACACACTGAGGCTTCAAGAGGCATCGCAGGTGTCTGCTCAGGCTCTGGCTTCCTGTGGTCACCTGAGAAAACGGATCGAAAGGCCCAGAGCTAAGGCCCAGCACAGGCTCTGAGCTGACTAGGGCTTCCCGAGCGTTAGAGAATGCTGGTTCAGTGTTAAAGAATCTGCCTGCCAACCAGTAGGAGACGCTGGTTTGATCCCTGGGTTGGGAAGATCCCCTAGAGAAGGGAATGGCTACTGATCCAGTATTCTTGCCTGGGAAAACCCATGGACAGAAGGGCCTGGTGGACTACAGTCTATGGGGTCGCAAAGAGTTAGACATGACTTAGTGACTAAACCATCATCGCCACCACTGACCTAACTAGATGCCTTGAGTCCCATCTGGCCTGGCCATGCCCCACCTGGACCAGTTGAATACAGCCGCTTATCAGACCTGTGTTTGATGTTGTAAACCCCTGAGGTGCTGAGGTGTCTCATAAGCAGCCAAGCTGATACACCAGACAAGACAAGGAAACTAACTTCTCCCCAGTAAGCCCTAACAACCTGTTTTGGAATTAAAGCAACTCATCTGAAGCAGATTCAACTTACTTCCAGGCATCAGTTCAAAGTGAGGCCTTCCTTCTTCAGTGGACAGAAGAGTAGCCAGCTTCCCTTCTATCATCTCTCCATCGATGAATTTTCCATACAGGGCAGTCCTTTCATCAGGGTATAGGTAGGCTATCTTCTCTCCCGTCATCTCCCCATCTTCATTTACTTCTCCTACAAGGCTGCCTCCATCCTGATGGGACAAACCCAAAACCAGAAAATTTTATATTATAGTATTTATCTATATGACACGACCAGTATTCTTGGGCTTCCCTGGTGGCTTAGCTGGTAAAGAATCTGTCTGCAATGTGGGAGACCTGCGTTTGATCCCTGGGTTGGGAAGATCCCCTGGAGAGTGGCTACCCACTCCAGTATCCTGGCCTGGAGAATTCCATGGACTGTATAGTCCATGGGGTCCCAAAGAGTCAGACACAACTGAGCGACTTTAACACACTCACTCATAATGACACAAGTTCAAGATATTTCTCTTGTGCACACCCACTGTTGGTAGCACTAATATGGATGATAACAGATTAAGAACTCAGCTTTTCACATGAGCACGAAAAGCATGAGGCATATCATCCCTCCCCACCCAGTCCCCTATAGGCTATATGCACAGAGAGCGTATAAACCTGATTTACAGAGTCAGAGATGGAGCTGTACTTTATAATCCTGGACAAGTTACTGATACTGTCTAACTTGGTTTCTCATCTAAGAAACAAACACACTGTATTTGTGCGTGCATGTGTCCTCAGTCCTTTCAGTCGTGTCCAACTCTTTGCGACCCCATGGACTGCAGCCCACCAGGCTCCTCTGTCCATGGGATTCTCTAGGCAAGAGTACTGGAGTGGGGTGCCATGTCCTCCTCCAGATCTTTCCCACTCAGGGACGGAACCTATGTCTCCTGCGTTGCAGGTGGACTCTTGACTCACTGAGCCGCCCCTTTGTAATATGTCATAAACATTGAAAGGAAATGTAACAAGGGTTACTCTGAGCCAATATCAAATGTGATGAGGGTCTGCAGCAAAACAGTCTTACTCACTATTCTTAGAAATTTGTTTTTCTAATATTGAATTCTGAATTTCTGGTCTATTAAGAAAATCTTTAGTTCAAAGATACTTAAGAATTAGTTTAGTGTACGTGAGTAGAGAGTTGTCTGCGGTTTTGCAAGGAATAAACAAAAGAACTTTGAGATACTGTCTTTCTGAGAGTCCTATACCATGGTTTATTTTTTTGAGCTAGAATGCGAAGTGAAAAAAGAACAACTAAATTCTCCTCCTTTGCCCATCACTTCTCTCTTCCCACTCTTCTTTATTTACTGCTCCCTTCTGCCTCCTTCCAGGAGAGGAGCCAGCTGTGCTTCCTGTTTTACTGTCACTCCCAAGGGCCCTTAAATGCTTTAGGGCAGAGGCTATCGTAGAATTCTGCATCCTGGTACCAGTGCTAGGGACACAGGAGGTGATGTAAAAACTCTGCAAATTGAATTGGGACACTAAAAATAAACTAATAGTTAATTATTATTAAATTATATAAATTAAATATTATTATATATTATTAAATAAAAAGTTAATATTTAAAAACCTAACCTAGGGTACAAGATATGTTTCCTTTTTTTTTCCTTCCCATCTAGGAGGTCCTCATGGTATAAATGGAAATCTCAGACCTTTGGGGGTTTGACCTGAGACTAGTAAGGCCATGACATCTTCTAAAAGCTTGGTCATTTCCTCAACTGAAAGGTTCTAGAAGCAGCTACTCAGAGTCAGTGATGTGGGATGACTTCTGAGTGATTTCAAATGTGGTTTACAGAGAGGGAGCAGGAAGAAATAACCACCAGGTATAGAATCTCCACAGTTCACTGTAGTCTAATGGCTCTTTGGAGAAAAAACAGTTATAAATTTAAAAATGAATCACAGCACTTCCAAAGAAAGAAAAATACTTGGAAGCATTTTTCCCAGATAGAAAGGACATTAGGGATGTATTATTGCTCTTCCTCCTCCCTGAGTTAATTCTTAATGACCTAGCCTGAACAGAGACGTATTTTCTGCAAGATCTGCCTTCAGACTTCCAGCGATGATGACAGCTGAGTGGCGTTAGGGCACTTGTGCTCCTTATACACCGTAACTAACTAAACCATCAAGATTACTATTTATTCAGCATTCTCTCTTTCTAAGGTCTCAGGTTTTCTTCCCCCTTACATGCTTTAAACTTCCTTTTGTGGGCAAGTGATTTTATTTGTCTAGAATGATAAAGCAGATTTTTCTTTTATTTTAGAAAGGAGTTGGTGGTTTTAGTTGCTAAATCGTGTCTGACTTCACGACCCCATGGGCTGTAGCCCTCCAGGCTCCTCTGTCCATGGGATTCTCCAGGCAAGAATGCTGGAGTGGAATGCCATTTCCTTCTCCAGGGGATCTTCCCAACCCATGGATTGAACCAGGTCTCCTGCATTGCAGGCAGATTCTTACCAACTGAGCTACCAGGGAAAGGAGTTATGAGTTTTTAATTAAAACTCTCTATCACTGTTCCAAGGTAAACTTTTGACAGAAATAAACTACCCTTAGAATGAGCTTACAAATCCTGGATGGAGAATCATTATATTTTGCCTCGCTTTGTTCCTACTTTAACCTCACGTCACAGACACTTCCCTGTTGGCTGTACCAGGGGGAGCAGAGGGAAAACTGATCCCCTTTCTCCTCTGCTCAGCAGCTCCTCCTATGGGAAGAGGAATCCTTCACTTGATCGGTGAGACGGCAGGATCTGACACCCATCTCTACCAGATGGGGGTTAACAGGATAAAGTCTGCTGCTCTCACATGTTCTGCATTTTCGCTCACCTGTTCTGAGAATTGGCAGCGCCCATGGGCTGCACCTGCTCCCCTCTCATCCTCTCTTCTCCTTGGGGAAGCTCCCCCAGGCAGCCCTACTCCCCAAGGGAAACCTGCAGCTTTCTAGCTGCTCTGTGGGCACCTGGCCCATCTGTTTAGTTCAGAGGGGCAGAAGTAGAAACCCATGACACCTCTGCATTCTAACTCTGCCATAAGGAAGTCCTGATGCCTGACACCTGTGTCCATTTCTTAACTGCTCAGTTGAGTCCGACTCTTTGTGACCTTAGGAACTGTAGCCCACCAGGCTCCTCTGTCCATGGAATTCTCCAGGTAGGAATACTGGAGTGGGCTGCTATTCCTTTCTCCAGGGGATCTTCCCAGCCCAGGAATCGAACCTGGGTCACCTGCATTGCAGGTGAATTCTTTACTCCAGGCTCCTCTGTCCATGAATTCTCCAGGTAGGAATACTGGAGTGGGCTGCCATACACAGGGACTGAATCCGGATCTCCTGCATTGCAGGCAGGCTGTTTACTGTCTGAGACATCAGGGAAGCCCGCTTCTTAATTGATTCTCAACCCGGAGATCAGAGCAGTGGGATGTGATCACCAGCCTCACGCCTGGCCCCAGTGCCAACAGATACTATACACAAAATGTCATCAACCAAGTTAATTTTGACAGCTTGTAACTCCCCAGTGCTTCTTCCTTCCTCAGGTGGAGTCCTCTCTTGGTGTTTAAAAGGACACTAATTAAAGCTGAAGGCTAAAATGCAGCTGTGCATTTTAGGTTTCAAATTGCAACTGCGTTGAGTGAATCAGATCAATTTACCTTAGTGCAGCTTTGATATCCTCTAGGGACTTAAATTGATCATAGTTACAAGTAAAATTACAGGGAGTGGGAGAATCTTGTAATTCATTGCATTTCCTTCATTTCAACCCCCAGGAGGAATTCTACTTTCCCTGATTTCAAGATTCACTGTGCTATGGGCAGCTCCCTAGCACAGGGCAGTAGGAAGCTTATCCTGCCTAGTGACAAAGCAACAGAAGTTTCAGGCTTCCTAATCTGGTAAATACCTCCACCTCTTCTCCCTCTGAAACAGAAACTTCTGAGCTATTGCAGATCCTACCAAGAGAATGTGTAAATGCTTTAATAATAATTAAAAAAAATGTTTCACAATTTTTTTCTTTGGCTAGAGTATAACTTATTTTTCAGCAACAATAATGTGTAAGTAGATTCTGCTGGTATTACTTTTCTTGTTATACATATAATAGAAACTTTGTTTTTACTGATACTTTTAAATCATAAAAGGATAGGATTAAGAGTAAGAAAAAACATATTTTGACTTAAGCTCTGGACAAAATAAAATATTAGATAAAATATTTTTGCAGGTCCATTTTCTGAAACATTTTCTGGAAATTCACTAAGAACAGATGGGGTATTTGAAATGCAAACAAAAATTACAACATTAATTCCCAGCCATGGGTTTTTGCTGCATCTTTCTGCTGATGATCAACTCCAGAAAGATCATAAATGTTATCAAATATTCAAAGGCTAGTTAATTTTAATCACCTTGATTTAAGCAATATAAACCAAAAAATGGGGAGGGGGAGTAGAAAGTCAAGTAACAATAGTGTAGTAAGTCCAAAAAGATGTGAAATTGCTGGAATCATTCTTACCTATGAGAGAGAATAAAATTAATCGCAACAATGAAACATTCTAACATTCTTTCTATATCCCAAAGAAATATTTTTAAAAAATCAATGTATTTTTGTTTTTATTGGTGGTACGATCAAGCCAGTTTGTCTCAGTTTGGTTTTCTTTTACTTTTTTAAAAGATATGTATTTAGCTGCACCAGGTCTTAGTTGTGGCATGTGGGATCAGACCCAGGCTCCCGACATCGGGAGCATGAAGTCTTGGCCACTCGACCACCAGGGAAGTCTACTCCATTTTGTTTTAATGGTGACTAATTATTTCTTTCCAAAGCCACCCTGAAGAGGACTTTACAGCAGATCGGAGGACAATTTAAGTCAACTGTTTCACAGTGAGAAACAGTTGTTGACTTCAGCTACTGACTCTCAAGTTTGCACAGTCTCACGCTTTCTAACATAGAGAATACATTTATTCTTCACTGGGAAGACTCAAAGCCTTGTCTTAAAACATGCTATTTTTCAGCGAATTGAGCAGTGACAAGACTTACTGGGTAGTATATCCAGCACACTCCATGCCGAATGTTATCTTTATATTGTCCCTTGAAGATGAGTCTCCCATCTGTGTCGTACTCCTGGGCCGGTCCATTCAGCTCTCCGTCTACATACGTGCCCTGGAGAACGCCTCCGTCCTCGTAAGTGTAAACTCCCTGCCCCTGCAGGGCATCGTCCACGTAATATCCCTCCAGGGTGCTGTGAGGGAAGGGAGAGCAAAAGAGGAGCGTGAGACCGCCACTCAACTCTCCTGAAAGACAGGATCATATCATGCTCACCTCTGTTCCAATGCCCGCCTGTATTCAGTACTTCCTCCTGAGTTCTCTGAGACTGCCAGGGAAAAATACTCCTGAGATATGGGTAGGATTAGAAACAGAGGAAGATTTAATTCCTAATCTCCTAGCTCCTATTAAGTCCAGTTTCTCTATTGAAAGAAATACAAGAGAAAGAAACCACAAGTGGAAACAGAATAAGCCTCATCTAAGTTATGTTTCCTGGGGCTTCCCTGGGGACTCAGATGGTAAAGAATCCGCCTGCAATGCAGGAGACCTGGGTTTCATTCCTGGGTTGGGAAGATCCGCTGGAGGAATGCATGGGAACCCACTCCAGTATCTTGCCTGGAGAATCCCCTTGGACAGAGGAGCCTGGTGGGCTACAGTCCATGGGGTCACAAAAAATTGGATACCACTGAGTGACTAAGCACACATGTTTCCAAGGCTAGATGCTGACCAATACCAGGCAACAGAAATGCTGGTGTTACCCTTTCAACACATAAAACACTCCTGCTTAATTTCCCTCAAGAGTGGTCCAGAATTCACTGGGAGTTCTCAAGGGTCTTTAGATGGCTTGTATAGAGTGGTCTCTAATAATACAAATGTGGTTTAGAACGTGTAGATGTCTACCTATCTGTCTTACACTATTAATGCATTATTTACTGGTGACAACCACAATTAGTATCCATCAAAAGTATCCCCTTCTATCTCTTTGGAAGATATATGGGAAGGTACTTGTGTATGTGTGTGTCTATATCTATGTGTGATCATGAGCAATGGGGGTAAAGTATGGAAGATGGCAGGCTAAACCTGACTAATATCATTTGTTGCTGTTGTTTAGTCACTTTAGTCATGTCCAACTCGTTTGAGACCCCGTAGACTGTAGCTTGCCAGGTTCCTCTGTCCATGGGATTCTCAAGGCAAGAATACTGGAGTGGGTTGCCATCTTGTTCTCCAGGGGATCTTCCTGATCCAGAGATCAAACCCAGTTCTTAGAGTCTCCTGCATTGTAGGTGGATTCATTAGTAGCCTGATAGAAAGTTTGAGGTCCATAGTCCCAAAACTGAAGAAAGCTCACAGGGGTGTTTATGTTGATTTTATAAGAACCTTTTTTTCTCTCCTCATAAAACACTTTTTGGATTTCATAACATATTTTGAGTGTCAGCCTTGCAAAGGCCATTATGCAATGAAGCTAACTTTATCCAAAAATTCCTTTATGAACATAAATTTGGAATAAAGGGAAAGACCAGCTCAAATTATTATTATTTTTTACAATTAAAACATAAGATGGTTAGCAACAAACAGTTTGATTATTTTAACACGCACAGATAATATTCATTCATTAATTCAACTAACAGATATTTATAGGATGCCTTCAAGTAGTGAGCACAGCTGTATGAAGATCTAGGAAGCATTATGAACAAGATAACCACAAAACCAGGAGACAGGTACTGGGGACAGGTGGGAGCCACGGGGATGGATGTGGCTGCACCGGACTCTACCTGGAAGAGTCTTATCTTGCTGTTAATGAATGACAGAATGATCTGTAATTATTTAAAGAAAAGCACAGCTGAAATAACGATACCTTTTGATTACAATGTAATTAGACTATTTGTAGTCTCCCAAAGAGATAAATCATTCTCTTTCAGTTTTGTTTGTATGATCAGTGATAAATAGGCCTAGTAAATTCATGTAGAGACGAGGGTGTACTTCAGCATAGCCCTTGCATCAGTAATCAAAATTCTAAATTAGTGAGGTTGGAATTAATGAGATTACACTGTCATTAGATTCCCACCATGAAAAAAAAAAAAAGAACAACCTTGGTGAAGGATAACCAATCAACTGATATAATGATGCAACAGACAGGACAAAAAACTATTTAATTATCCATCTTGACTTGGGGAATTACCAGGTAAAATACAGGATGCTCAGTGTAGTTTCAGATAAATAACAAATAACTTTTTTTAGCATAATTATGTCCCAAATATTGAACAGGACATAATTATACTAAAACATTTTTTATTGCTTATCTATGTGTGTACGTGTGTGTGTGTTCAGTTATGTCTGACTCTTTGCGACCCCATGGATTGTAGCCTGCCAGGCTCCTCTGCCCATGGAATATTCTAGGCAAGAGTTTTGGGATGGGTTGCCATTTCCTACTCCAGGGGATCTTCCTAACCCAGGGATTGAACCCAGGTCTCCTGTCTTGCAGGCATATTCTTTACCACTGAGCCACTTGGAATACCATTTTAACTGGGTGGCCTGGATTTTTATTTGCTAAACCTGGCAACCCTATGGACTGAATTCTCTGTCCATTCTCAGTCAGACATTCAAAATGTTACTGTGTGTTTGGGCAGAACTATCCCCTGACAGACTAGTCTGCCAATATTTCTTAGGTTTATGATGAAATCTACAAGGCATGGGTCTCAAGAATCAGTTAAACAATCATGTGGATTTGCACATATTTCCCCGGTCATGTCCAGTAGCTTGTCTCCCCCTCCCTTACAGCAGAGCCCACCCTTATTAGTATCATAATCCTAAGAACAAACGGCTATTTCCTGTAGCTCAATAAACCTAAGATTCCCAAATGCAAAGTCTTGAGACTTCGGAGAGCAAAAGTTACTGCATTGTTTTCCAGCCCCTGACTGAGGAAACAGCTTAGCTTCCTTGGCAAATTTTTCTGGTAACTTGGATGGAATCTGATAACAAAAAAGGGACATGTTATCATATGAACTGTGATCTCCAAGGCAATAAAAAATGATAAGTCTCTGAAATCCTCTGTCACTGAGGAAATAAAAAACTTCTTAGTCTGGTGTTAAAGGCACCACTTCTTTCTCTAACTTTTCCTCCTGAAAAGGTTGGCAAACCGTAGCTGGCTGCCTGTTTTTGTAAGTAGAGTTTTACTGGAACACGGCCACGAACATTCCTCTCCGTACCCTCTGTGGCTGCTTTCACATCACAACAGCAGAGTTGAATAGTTGCAACAGAGGCCAGATGTGGCCCCCAAAGTCTAAAATATTTACTATCTCCCCCTGGGCAAAAAAGGTTTGCCCAACTTCTGCTCTAGAATCCCCTGGTTACATTCGTTCATTCACTGGCCTCAAGCACACCTCTATGTATCTTAGCTTCTATACTGGGTTTTCCCTGGTTCTTGCCTTGAAACATACGTAACTAAACTTTTTAAACTCCTGAGGATGACTTCAGGGGAAAAAAAAAAAAAGTTGTGGGTCACATTTGCCTTTTAATCATTCAAAACAAAAATAAGTTTGGGAAAAAGAATGAATATTCTCCAACCTCTGGTCTTTTTCTATTTAAAAAAGAAATCAGCTATGAGAAAATGGCATTATGTTGTACTTGATTGTTAGTACCTGGTCATATTTGAGAAGTAGCTATGGAGGGAAAACTTTCTTATCTTTCTTGCTGAAATGGCACGGGGAGTTATACTATAGAGAAGGGTGCTCATCATTGGCCTCCCTGGAGCTTCCCCTTCACCCACATGCAGCCCTGCTTCCAAAGGAGGCTACCCTGACCTCTGCAACCACAGTCACCGAAGCCTAGTCTTCAACTAGTACAGGATGTGCCACATCTTTATCCATGATCAGCTTATGGGTCCTAGTTCTCTAAATAGATTGTAAGCCCTTTACAGGAACAAATTAGGCATTATGTATTTTTCCCGTTACATATAAACACAGCATATCTTCAAGCGGTATTTCCTAAATGAAAGAGTGGAACTGGGAAATGGGATAATCTTGCTCTGAGAAGAGAAAATTGAGAAGGAACATAACCATGTTAAGAGTATTTCTCAAGCGCAGGGAGAATTTTTTATATGAAGTGTATGTGCATTTAAAAAAGAAATCAACTATGAGAAAACGGCATTATCTTGTAGCCACTCAATTGCAAGTGAGGAGTTTCTTAAACTCTGTGCTTTATATTTCTCCATTCGTAAACTGCAGCTACTAATGAGGCTATTCAGGATTACAAGGTTTAATACATAGCAAGTGCTTAGAAGATGTTAGGACATAACGACTGCTCGAATAACAACTATTATTATTAAGCATGCACTTTCATGTATATGATGGTGAGCTTTTTGCTGAGAAACTTAGCTTAAAACAGCAGCACTGGGGAACTGGTTATAGACTCTGGAGTAGACAGTCAAAGAAATTAACAACACTGCTCTAGATTTACCTTAAAAAAAACAGCTAGAAAGATTCCTCTCTGAGGGAAGGATGGAATAAATGCTTCTTTAAGTGAAAAAAGTAAAACACAGTCATTGTAAAATGAACAAACAAGTAAACATAAAGCAAATCAAACACTACAAAGATGTGGAAAGCAGAAACTCCCTGGACTCTTGCTCAGTTCGGCATATATCATTTAAGACTTCTCTCCATTAATACCTTATGCATTTTCCAACCTCGCGTGGTTGCTGTTTTAGCAAAAACTGGGATCATCCCATACCCAATGTTCTTAACTTGTATTTTCTTAAAATTTCTTTCAACACTTGGCAGATATTTTAGTATGTTAAGAAGCTACAAAAAATGGTTTGATTTTTCCAGTACGAGCCCTTGAATCAAATAACTTGAAAACATAGAAAAAATGTAAAAATCAATTTTAATTAGATTTCTTTCTTCCCATATACACACAGGCCATTTTTATCTGTTTTATCAAAGCTCTTGTACTTAACTTTCCAGTAACCTAACTTAGAAAGAAATGAAAAAAATTTATAGTTGTTTACCTAGGCAGATACATCTGCAATCTATTCAACTATTTTCACTGAAGAATTCTCTTTAATATCTGAATACACAAAAGTGTTCTTAGGAGACTAAACAGCTTTGGCTTTTCCTTCATATTTTGGGCTCTAGAAGGTTTGGGACTTTCCAGCTCCTGAGGCATAAACTCTGTTCTCTCCAGCACTGTGTTCCCTTCCTT